AAGGTTATGTGCCAAGATGGAAAGGAAATAAACTTGTTCAGGGCTTTGAACAACACAGGAAATTCTGGATTGAGCAGTCTGGATTGATCACCCTCCCAGCTGCCCTGTACTACAGGATTAACCACCTACTTGGATCTGCTTCCTTTTTCTTCTCTCACCCCAGTAAATATTTACATTGCATATTTATTTATTGTTTTTATACATTAGTTTCTTTTTGTACTCTGCCCAGAGTCACTTCTTGTGAATGGCCATATAAATGTGATAACTAAATAAATGAAGTATTTGACAATCTATTACCCTGCTCACAGAGGTGAATGAGGCGGCCTATCTGTCATGCTGAACTGAAAAAACAATAAATGGTGGTAGCGAACATTCACTCAAACAACCCCCCCCCCAATATTTTGGGGAACAAAGAAACACTATATATATATAGTGATATTTTAAGTCTCAACTAGCCAAGTACTACATATCCGTAGAAGCTGCTCACAATTTATGTGTATTGTTGGCTTCCTTCATTTCAATATTTATCCAACAGTTCTGAAGAAAAGCATTTATAATGTAATATATAAATTTACTAGATCATATACTAGATAAACATTTATCAGGTGCTTTCTTTGTTCCTGTTTCTGTGTGTCACACAGGTAGTCCTTGACTTACAATCAGTTGCACAGCGACTGTTTGAAATTACTACAACCTCTTCCCCTCTCCCCCCTGAATTTTTTTTTGCCAGTTTCCAGCGTTTGTTTCCAGTTTTTGGTTAAAAACTATCCATTGGATAAATTGACCATGCTATTTGCTTAATGACTACTGCAAAAAACGACATAAAATCAGTTCTGTTATGTGATATTCCACTTTACGTCCACAATGATTTAGGACTGTAATTCTAGGCTCAGTTATGGTCATAAGTCTCATAAGAATTACTTAGGGTGTACTAAAAATTAAAACTTTTGGAACACTATGTACAGTGTCAGATTTAGATAATACAGCCTATATTGACTGCACTGAGCAAAAGCCAGATATTATAAAAGAACCTAATTAAATTGGCATTTTGGGGGGTATAAAATGAGGCATGAGAGCCAGTTTGATTTTGTGGTTAGTTTCATGTTAAGGCGACTGAGTTCTGGTTCTGTTTTAGGTACAAAACCAGCTAGATGTTCTCGGCCAGTCACTTCTCTCAGCCCGAGGAGCCACAGGTTCATAAATCTGGAATATGCTTTGATAACATTTAATTTTTCCCCTTCATAATGATTGGAATTAGTGATTAAGTGCTGCCAGAAGGAGCTTCATAGCAGTTTCTTTCTTCAAAATAGAATTGGCCAGTTTAGGCAATTGTTGATTCTGCTTGCATTCTCCCCAGTCTGGTTTCTTTTTGTCATTTCTCCCAAATTTCAGCCTTCTGTCTCTCCTCAATAAAATCTTACTTTAGTAAGCTTTTTCCTTTGTGCATGTAATTCCAATATGTAAGTAACAGTGGTGTTAAAGCAATTACCAACCTCTTTTTTTTTTTTCCATTTTCACCAAAGGAAAGACTTTTCAATTGAGAAAGGATGATGATTTTGATGGTGTTATTTTTCCACACAAAACCACCTGCATTCTTGCGCTGCAGGAAAGAGTGTTTTTTTGAACTGGTTATGCAGAATGCTGTGATCTGTTGTTTCTCTCTTAACTGTAGTGTCCTAGATATATGTTTATGGAATGTAACATAAAAGTTAGAACATATAAGTTGATGTGTTACTCTCAGGCATTATTACTAAGTAATGAACCTCATACCTCAAAACTACCTGAAGCATTAACTGCCCTTGGAGTAAAAGAATGACACTCGGAAATAATAAAGTACTCCAGAATATTTGTAAACTCCAACTGGTACAAAATGTGGCTACATGGATAATAAATTGTGTTATATGACATATCTGACACTACTCCTCTCTGAGCTGCACTGGCTGCTGGTATGTTTTAAGGTGTTTTAAAGCCCTACAAGGTGTAGGACTGGGTTACCTGAAGGACTTGTCTTTTTTAAAAAGATTCTATCGGTCCAATCCAATTAAACTGGCCACACTGCAGATCCATCATCCAGAGTGCTGACTGGCGAGAAGATGGGCTTTCTTTGCTGTAGCCCCTGCCTTATGGAATATTCTCTCTTGGGAGATTAAAATGGCCCCAACTTTTTGGCTTCTTGCAAAGCTATGAAAACCTGATTATGTGCCCAAGCCTTGGACTCAGAATGTATGAAGGACCTCTTTTATTTGGCTTTACTATTAGTTGCTTAATCATGTTTTTTATTGTTTTAATGTGTTTTAAATTGTTTTATAATTTTAGACTTGTTAAGCCACTCAGGAGTCACCATTGAACAGCTATGGATAAATAAATACATAATATACCATGACCCTGCTTCCCACAAAACAGGATGTAGAGAGTTTTAGGCTAAGGAGAACAAATAAACTTCAAGACCATTATTAGAGTGGGTGTTACTTATTTAGGGGCTGCACATAGGGAAAAAGAATTGGGTACTCTATCCCATACCTTAGCCAACTCTGGAATAATAGACTAGGAAAGGTTTGGGTGCTCCCATTTGTTTTCAAATCAGCTGGGATTAATATTCAATTTAATAATGTGTTCTCATGATACAGTATCCCACTGTTTATTTACTTGTCATTTAACCATTTGATCTCTATTAAATAAATTAGGAGGTAGGGAGACATTCTGTTCAATACTGTAGAAATTGACCAGCCTAAGTCTGTGCATCTTTTGGACTGGAGGTCCCGTCAGGTTTAAGTCTGGCTGGGGTCCCGTTGGAGTACGCCTTGTTTCCCTAATTCTTGCAGTAACAATTTCCTGCCGCTCCTTTGAAACTATACACAGAAATTTATTTTATTTTATTTTATTTGGTTTGTCAATTGCTTACAAGATCATAGGTATAAGTAAAAACATAGTTATGAATACATGGATACATATAAGAAAAATAAAAGAAACAATAGGACAGGGATGGTAGGCACGTTGGTGCGCTTATGCATGCCCCCTACAGACCTCTTAGTGAGGTCAATAGTAGAAAGTCTAAGGTTAAAGTTTTGGGGGTTTGGGGAAGAAACCAGAGTCAGGTAGAGTATTCCAGACATTGACCACTCTGTTGCTGAAGTCGTATTTCCTGCAATCAAGTTTGGTGCGGTTAACCTTGAGGTTGTATCTGTTGTTTGCTCTTGTATTGTTATGGTTGAAGCTGAAGTATTCATTGACAGGTAGGACATTGCAATGTATGATTTTATATACTATACTTAGATCGGACCGAAGGCGGTGTAGTTCTAGGTTTTCTAGGTCTAGAATTTCAAGTCTGGTGGCATAAGGTATTCTGCAACGAGTAGAGGAGTGGAGAACTCTTCTTGTGAAATATTTCTGGACTTTCTCAACTGTGTTAATATCAGATACGTAATGTGGGTTCCAGACTGATGAGCTGTATTCAAGTATTGCTCTAGCAAATGTTTTGTATGCTCTAGTTAGTAGTGTAATATTACCAGAGAAAAAGCTACGCAAGATTAGGTTAACAATCCTTGGGTTAGATTTCTCCAAACCGAAGGAAGCCAAAGCAAGCCAGCTTCTTCTTAGCATTTCTCTGTCCCTTTTTAAGGGACAGAATAACACAGTTGGAAGGGACCTTGTAAGTCATCTAGTCTGCCCCCACCCCCGCTCAAACAGGAGACTCTACCTATACCATTTCTGACAGATGGCAGTCCACAATCATGATGGTTGCATTATGATCATGATTTATCGCTTGTTGCTTTGTGTGTACATTGAGAACTTCTGAACCGGAGATAAATTCCTTGTGTGTCGGATCAGACTTGGCCAAGAAAGAATTCTATTTCAATTACGATGTAACTTAGTATTTGCACGCCCATGGAGACAAAAGGGACCGAAGTGGTGGTGAAATAGCCGCGCGGCTCAGCTGGCTTCGCATTTATTTTTTCTCCACAATTAAACTATCTGAAACGCGGTCTGTAGAATTCCTGCAAAAAGGGGAAAATGGAGTGAGAGTTCAGGCGGCGTCTTAGAAGTCATAAAAGTCTTACAATCACAAGGCTGGAAGGGACCTCCGAGGTCTTCTAGTCCAATCCTCTGCAATACCAGCCCGGGCAAATGAATGTCTAATCTATTCTTGAAAATGAGAATTAAAATCTTTAGGAGCAGGAGGAGGGGGGGGACACACAAGAAAACCTAGAACTATGCCGCCTTCGGTCCGATATATGTATAGTATATAAAATCATATGTTGCAATGTCCTACCTGTCAATGAATACTTCAGCTTCAGTCATAACAATACAAGAGCACACAATAGATACAAACTCAAGGTTAATCGCACCAAACTTGATTGCAGGAAATACGACTTCTGCATTTTTCTTCTATTTTTCTTCTATGTACCCATTTCATGTACCCATTTCATATATACATAACTATGTATATACTTATACCTATTATCTTGTAAGCGATTGACAAATCAAAATAAATAAAATAAAATAAAATAAAAAATAAATATTGACCTCACCCCTTTCCTAAGAGGTCTGTAAGGGGTGTGTGCATAAGCGCACCAATGTGCCTACCGTCCCTGTCCTATTGTTTATTTTATATATATTTTTATTTTTCTTATATGTATCCATGTATTCATAACTATGTTTTTACTTATACCTATTATCTTGTAAGCAATTGACAACTAAAAATAAAGAAAAATAAAATAAAATAAGTTACCCTTACAAACTCTCACATTTTTCACGTCCTCAGAGCAAGGCCGACGGTAGCCAAGCGACTGCGCATGCTCTGCCCGGCAACCATCGCATGCTTTCCCCCCCCCTTTCTTCCAGCGTTTGCTCTGTCCAGATTTTTTCACTGCGTGCGCATCAGCAGTCCAACCACAGGGTTTAAGAGAGAGAGGGAAAAAAGGGCGGGTGAGGAAGGGGCGCGTGGAGCGTTAAACTTCGCTCCTCTGACTGCGCATGCCCAGCAATCCTCGTTATTTAGTCCTGACCGAGAGTAAAACCAGCCGGCTCTCGCTCGGTGCTTCCCTCTCCCCACCCCCGCTCCCCTCCCTCCCCGTCTTCCGTGAGGTCAGAGGAGACTCCGCCCAATGCAAGCCGGCCTCAGGCTCTGGAGACCGCGAGGGCGGAGTTAAGAGAAAGCTCAGAGCCGCGCAGCGCCGGAGTTGAGGCGGCATCAGCTGAGGACGGAGCGACGGTCGTGGCAGGTAAAACTTTTGGGGTAGCCGGGCGGGAGCACCCCCGCTGTCTCTTTTGCCCCGACCGACCCGCCGGCGCTTCTTGCCTTTCGTTCCCTGTTTTGCATCCCGACTTTTTTTTTTTCCCCACCTCTTTCCCGGGTGACTCGTTTCACCCGGTCTCTTCGCTGCTTTTGGTTCTTCTTCGGACCTTTTCCTGGATGCTTCCCCCTCGGTATTGCCCCGAGGGATTTGGGTTTACTATTCGGACAGGTGGAGGTTGGGGAATTCCTCCCCCCCCCCAAAAAAAAAAAGTTTAAGGAGGTCTTCTAAAAATCCTCGAAGAAGTTTATGTTTGGTTTTTAGTCGCGGCGCTTTTCAGGATAAGATGAGACTTTTAAGTTTCTTCTTATCCTGAAGAGATTGGACAACCATTTGTCTGAAATGGTATATAGGGTCTCCTGCTTGGGGGGGGGG